CCCCCGGGGTCCTCTGCGTCGTCATACGCTGAAACCCGCTCAAGCCCCGTAAAAGTATAAATGGAAATAAAAGTCGGCATCTGTCTGGTGATGCGTGGCGTGGCGCGGCTTGGCGTGGCTCGGCGCGCCGCCTGCCTCAGGTATACTTGGCAACGCGGGCCGCTCATGGCGGCTCATGGCAAGGCAGCGGTGCATGGACCGCCGCCTCCCGATGGGCCCATGCCGCTCGCGGACCCGCGCACCAAATGATGCTCGCCAGACGACTCGCCAGAGGCGGGTGCGGCGGCGGCGGCGGCGTGGTCTGCGTGTCGACGGGGACGTGCGGGGACGTGCGGGGACCAGCGGGGACCAGCGGGGACCAGCGGGGACCAGCGGGGACCAGCGGGGACCAGCGGGGACCCCTTTCCCAACATCATTAGTGCTCACCTGTTAGGTGTGGAGGAGGCACGGGTGGCAGTAAACACAAGGAGCGAGAATTGAAGAGGCGGGGGGCGTGGCGCGGCGTGGCGGTGTGGCGCTGGCGGCGGCGGGGCCAAGGTAAACAGAAGGCCTCTTCATGAACGGCAGCCTCTTGAAAAAGTAATCTTCATTCCCTCCACCCTCCCTCCTCCTCCTCTGGCCGGCGCTGCGCTGCTGCCGCCAGCTCGGGCCGCGGCCGTAGCGCCCCGGTCGGCGAACGGCCCGGAGCGCCGCGCGCCGTAGGCAACCCCGCCGAGCAGCGACGCGCGACGGGGCGGGGGTTGCCTACCTCGAGGGCGCTCCGACCGCTAGGGTCGGTCGGCCTCTGCAGAAATAACTAGTACTCTGGCGCCCATCACTACTACTTTCACCCGCGACTTGCCCTGCCCCTGCCGGTGGGCGCAAAGCTAACGGTGACCAGACCGGGTCGCGCCTAATCCTCCTCACCGCCCCCTCGTCTCGCCCGGCAATGGCTCCGTGTTTTTGGAAGATTCACCGAAGGCGGCGCAGCGGCACAGGGGATGAGCCCCTCAGGTGCGTGCCGCTCCCACAGAGATCGCCGCCCGCATGATGCTCGCGCCCCCGCCACGCCCTGCCACGCCCCGCCCCGCCACGCCCTGCCACGCCCTGCCACGCCCTGCCACGCCACGCCCTGCCACGCCCTGCCACGCCACGCCCTGCCACGCCACGCCCTACCGCGGCCTGCTATGCAGGGCGATGCCTTACAGCGCTTTCGTACTTCCGTCCTTGTCCCACTCACCTAGGAGGACCTAGGACACCGCCAATGGGTGGGAGAGAGAGAGGGCACGAGAAAACGCCGTGCGGAATCGCCTTTGCTCGCGCTCGCGGCCCCGACCCGACCCCGCCACATTTCGCCACGCCCGCCCGCTTCGTTCAATAATTCTGACTTCGGGCAACCGAGCGGGATGTACTACTCGTGCCCCTCGCTGCAATAAGTCAGCGTCGAAACTCAAAATCAGATAGTTCTAATGTCTTCCGTCTGTCTTACAACGAAATAAATGTTTCGTATCACAAAGCTGAGAAGCTGATGATTATACTGCTAAAACAAGTAATAATCTCGCAAGTGTGCAATGTTTATAAACATTTTGTGGTGTCTAGCTCTATTCGTGCAATTAGACACTATGTGCAAATTCTCATTATCTGCGCCCGATGGTGTGCGAATTTTGCACACTTGTGCTCACCGGTGTAAATGTGCAAATTTTTGACGTTCACACAAACTTTTTATAGCCTGCTCGCCTGCGCACTGTACGCACATTACATTTCGCTGTCACGTCAGTTAAACTCCGTCTAGTGTGCAGAATGTGTGCAGTAAGTCTTACCGGTGTACTCGACAGCATACACCACATCATTATGGTTGCGTCACGTGCGTGATGGCGCCTGGCGCCCCCGCCCCGCGGCACGCGAGCCGTCACGGTCACGGTCACGGGCGGGGCACCGACGCGGGGGAGGAAGGGAAGGGTGGATGAGGATAAGCTTCCTGGCGGCGAGCTGGGCCCTTCCGAGTCCCTGACCCCGCCGCCCGCCGCGCTCTGCTGCCTCCAAGAAATCTGCCGCCAGGTTGGGCCGGCTAGGACCCCGCCGCGCCACCTCGGCTGCGCGCACCTGCTGCCGCCCGCTGTCCGGCCCGCGAGTGGCGGCAGATTTGAAGGGGCTGAAGCGCTATTTCAAACTGTTTTCCCCCCCTCCTCTCCCTCCTCTCTCTCTTTGCTGCTCTTTCTCTCTCTTCCACTCTCTTTCTCTCTCTTCCACTCTCTTTCTCTCTCTTCCACTCTCTTTCTCTCTCTTCCACTCTCTTTCTCTCTCTTCCACTCTCTTTCTCTCTCTTTCACCCTCTTTGCCGCGCAGGTGCAGAGTGGCGCGACGCGCCGCAAAATGGGCAGCAATATGGCGTGTCTTGTGGGCCGTGAAATTCGCACGTCCATCACCTGGTGGTGATGCGTGAGGGGGCGTGAGTCGCGGGGCCGGACGGGTCGGTCCCGTTCTGATAGGGACAGGGGCCAGCAGCTCGCGACGCCCGCGAGCCAAGCAGCTCTTCTATGGTTGATGCAGTTCGATTCGCGATCCGCGAGGCACCGTTGGGTAGGACCGCCCGGCCAGCTCCTGGGCACGGGGTGCGGGGCGGGGCGCGCGGCATGCGCGGCCTGCAGCAGCCCGCCTGTGCCTGGTCAAGTAGGTCGCCCGTGCAGCCTCCTCGTCCTCCTCGTCCTCCTCCTCCCTCCTTTTCCTCCTCCTCAAACCTGCTGACCAAATTCCCCCTTTCCTTCCCCCTCTTCTCTTTTTCCGTCGGGTTCCCGGACCATTGCATATACTGTGCACCGCCTGGAGGCCGCTGCTACCTTTCCGACCCATGTGCTGTTTGCTTGTTTTGGTTTGTTGTTGTTGGTTTCTGGGGGTAGGGGGGGGGGGGACTGCTTTGGTTATTGCTCTTGACTCTCTCGTCATCTTACCAGGCAGACGTACGCCAGACCACGTCTCGCGAAACAGGCTTCGCGATACTTAGGAAACATCATCTACCCACGCGTACCTAGGACTACGGCGCGCCGACACTCGAGTCGAGTAAAGGCAGAAGGCAGGGGATAGGGGCCCTGTTGGGGCCTTATGTCCTAGGAATGAAATGAAACCACGTTTATACACTTTACTTCCGTCCCTGGGATTCACTGCAACACCCCATTATTGTGATCATCAGCTGTGCTTCCGTGTGATAACGACTGAGAAAGGGAAACTCTGTGAAAGGCTGCGCTGTGCTCTGACCTGCGCCGGAGCTTCGTGGACCAGCGCGAGCGCAGCGCACAGCATCGACCCGAAAGGAAGATGGCAATCGCACTGTGGCGAGGCGAGGCGCGGCGAGGCGCGGGGCTCGCCATGCTCTAATGAGTGCGGGGTGCGGCGGCGCGGCTAGCAAAGGGGAGGGGGGGGGGGAGAAAGGAGAAGAGAGGGGTTCTTCCTTAACTCACAGGAGAGCCCGGCTTCGGCTGCCGGACCTTTTATCGGAAAGGTCTAAAACTTACTCAGGAGGGTATCCTCCTGTACGCCACCCCACCGCCACGTATTTGCCCCTTGACTTTCACTCTGCCCCTTATATCCCCCCCCCCCCCAACCGGTGGGTTTATGTATGAATTTGACTCCTTGCCTACTCACACGGTTAAAAGACTTGGCTGAGATGATCAACCATCCAAAATCTTGGGTCGATTAGGGAAAGGACTAGGATCTAATATCATACACTGCTCGGTTTGACAAGAACTGTAAGTTTCTTACTACAAAGACCTGCTATTTGTAAAGTGCAAAGGATTTGGCATCTTCGTAATACAAGCAAATCATTTGTATTACGAAGAGCTATCGGCTTCGTAATACGAAGCGGTGCTCTTTGTAATACAAAAAAAAATCTGTTTGTTTTAAACATCTCATATCAAACTTCTAAACTGAACTCGTTACGACCCTAAGATGCTTTGTGCGCAGTTTGAAGGCAATTGAAGTTGCCGTCTGAGAGATAGGCGGGCCGGGCCAGTACAGACAGACGGCCACACGGCCAAAGAGATCTCCTAACCCGACATCACAGCAAAGCAAAGGCTTCGCAAGCTCAGCCAATAAAGTACGGTTAGGACTGTATGCTCACTGTCATTGGTTACAGTGTTTTTAACAATACCCATGATGTGGCCACGCTTGCTTTTTTTCAACCCCCCGGCTGGGTGCACAGCCCACTGAACCGAACGTGTTGAATACATAATGCACTGCTTTGGCGGCCATTGCCGTATTGAGCCAAATGGTCCCCTCTCTAATGCAGTGTACGGAATGCAGTCGCCCCACCAGCAGCACAGCCCCCCTCCCTCCCTCCCCCTCCCTCGTGACCCCAACCAAACACGACAAATTATCTCTGCGCAGCGCTTTTCGATGAATCATCATCGATTGCCTCCACTGTGAAAAACTCTATAACCAATTACTGAGATTCTTCCAAAGTCCTTTATAGTGTGAATGAAGCACGGCTGCTCGTATAGATAATTCTTATTACATATCTGATATCATGACCACTATATGAAAGTCACGTTATTATTCGAATCGAAACAGTTGTTTTCCGAAACTCCTAAAAAATGAACAGAAAAAGTCATTTATTTTTACCATATTTTTTATTGTTTGTGCCGGTCCTTTAGCGGTTGGACAGGTGCAACGCCAGCTCGCCCGCGCCTGCCCGCCGCCCGCCCCTCCCTTGCACTTGGTCACTATTTCGGTCCCCGAGGCGCACAGGGTGGCCGCGGCTGCGGCAGCCTCGGCGGCCAGCCTCGGCGGCCAGCCTCGGCGGCAGCGCCCCGCCGTCTGCAGTCATGAGCTTGCTGTGCTCGTGCGCCGGCAGGCGCCGGGACAAGCGGACGCCGCCGCCCGAGGCCCCGCCGGCGAGCCATGGGGTGGCCGCGGACCTGGGCTCCGCGTCCTCGCTCTCGTACCTCCGGTCGCCGCCGCAGCGCCGCAAGTTCCCCGCGGGGCCAGACACGCCCGCATCCTCGTCGGCGGCGTCGAGCCGGTCCGGGGCCTCGTTCTGGTTCGGCCAGTCCTCCGAGTCGTCGTTGTACCCGGGCGCCAACGCGAGGTCGTCGGCGGCATGGCGCCGCCGCTCCGGGCTGTCCTGGTGCAAGCACAGCCAGTCCGAGTGCGCCGCGCTGGCCCACCACGCACACGAGGCGCCGCCCGGGGCCGTGTCCGGGCCCGACATGTGGCTCGCGCGCTCCGCCGTGTCACTAGCGGAGCACCGGCGCGCAGGCGTCCCCGCCGAAGACGACGTGCAAGGCCGCCGAGGCCACGGAGGCCGCGGAGGCCAGGGTCGCAGTGCGTCCATCCTGTGCGTCGTGGAGGAGACGGGGCGCGACGCGGTGCGGGCTGGTGATGACGCCGTCGAGGACAACGAGTGCGTTGCTGCCGGGGTACCCAACCTCATGTCGAGCCGCCACCGCCAACCAGAGCGGCAAAGTTGGCAGCAAAGTAGGCAATAACTAGCCTAAAGAAACACACGGAGCCAGCTGCATCTACTCCTGTCTTATGCAAAATTTACACCCGCTTGTTAAGGGGTCATCTAGTAGGAGGGCGTTAATGCAGCCAGCTCTCTACCTGTGTGTTTGTTTGGGCTAATTATTGCCTACTTTTCTGGCAACCCTGCAGAACGGGGCGGGTGCTCTCGCGCATCCCCGTGAGTGCCGTGGCCTCGCCTGCGCACGAGGCCTGGCGCTGCCGGGGACGCTGACGAGACGCGGAGACCACCTCATGAGATACCCCATGGAAGTAGTCTCATCAGTTGACCTCGGCTGACACCCCCTTGTTTCTCACGACGGTCCCCAGAGCAGCGGCAGCCTCGCTGTCGGCCGCCCCTGTCCCGCGCCCGCCACTGCACGCGAGTCGCTGGCTCCACTACTCCCCGAAGGGACTCCTGCTTCGCCTGCGTCCGCGCCGAGGCAGCTAGCGAGGAAGCTCCGGCGGGGTCTCCGCGCCAGCCTCCGCGGCCTCCGCGGCCTCCGGCCCGCCCGCGCCCCACGAGCAGCCGCGGCCACCCGCACCCAGCAGGAGCTGCCGTCGCCCGGAGGTACCGGAGGTCTGTGTGTGCGTCTCAGGTTCCTCCGGTTGGACCGGTGCCGCCACTCCCACACCGTGGCCGCCCCGCCGTGCCGTTACTCTCAAGTGTCGGAATGTCCTGTCCCGACCGCCGCCCTTGCCCCCCTGCTGCTTGGCCGCGCGCGCTACTTTTGGACTTTGCCAAACGCGCAAAAAGCGCTTTCTACGCTGCGAAGCCCGGCGCGCTGCACCGCGCGCGCGCGTGCGACTATTTTTAAACCCGGTGGCTGCCGGTGGCACGAGGACTCCTCGAGGCCTCGGGGGCGCGCCTCGAGGTCGGGTGCCGTTCTGCTCGGCCCCGCCCAACGCCGCTGGACACACGGGCGCCGCCGTGCGGTGACAGTGCAGTGTTGTGCAGCGGCGCAACGGTCTGTCACGCGCCAGAATGTGGTGCAGGGGCGCCAGCCTAACAAACGAGCCGCTCTACAGTGCGACTGGCGTTGACGGCGACGCCAGTGCTGCCAGCACCACCCATAACTCACGGCGACGTTACGCGAGGCACGGCGAATGGCGCCGCCCAGCGCCCGGCGGAGGGTTACCCGCCCCGCGTGGGGACCGGACAACCCCAGCCGCCGCTCTTTTTAGTCGTACGCCCCTCCGTCACCCTCTCGCGCATATTGTGCACCGTGATGCACAATATGCATGCTTGCTGCACAAATAACACAAACATGGCAGCCGGCTGTGTGGCGCGCGGCGGTCCGAAGGGGTTATGAGATGGGGGTTGAAATGGAGCGCGAGGAGCGGCGACGGCTGCCCTCTGTTCCCACCGGTATGACTGCCACGCCCCACGCCGCCCCGCCCCGCCCCCTCGAGGCCGGCCGGTTTGTGGAGGTTCGTTGACTCCTAGACTGCGCGGGCCAGTGTGTGAGCCCGCAGCGGACCCGGGCGGATCAGGACACTGGCTCTGCTCTGCTCTCTTGCCGATGAGGACGCCTCCCCCCCCCCCCTTGCCCCCTCCCGGTCGCAGGTTGGCCTAGTCAGTCGGTCCATGAGTTACGAGTTTGTGGCGCAGCCGGCACAGCTAGGCCGAGCTAGTCCCGACGTCAGCCCTACGGCGGAGAGACCCGGTCCTTAAGAGGATGGGCCGAACCTTTGAATCGATGGATCATAAAGATGCCAAACTGATCGATCCAGGGAAGGTGAGGGAAGAAGAGGGAATGGAATTTCCACGTCGCGCGAAGGCCTCGAATTCTGGAGAACCTGCAGGAGAGCAGGGATAGAGGAGGGAGGGAATGACGTCGTCGATCATTGCGGCCTTTGGCGCCTCTGGCACGGCTCCACGAGCCGGTGTGGTACCCGTTACTCGTACCTGTATCGTCCCCACTGGTTCCTGCAGGCTTCCTCGGCCAAGACGGTTGTCAGACATAAACTCGACCAAGGCCCAGTTTACCTTGTACGTTGAACCGGGTGTAACAGAGCGGACGGTGCAGTGTTGTGGGATTGCATAGCCTCGAGGGTCTCGGGCCGCAGGGGCCACATGCTTCGGCAGAAAGAGGAAGCACACTCGAAGCACACACGCTGAATGTTCTCATGTTTTGCGTGTTTTTTTCTTTTTCTTCCCCCATATTTTGTTATTACCGAGGGGGTGGGGGGGGGGTCTATTCTCTCTAGAGGTTAAAAAACTTTCAGCGCCAAAACTGTCAAGAGCCGAACGGACAAAATTTTGGCCCCAATGTGTTCAAATTGAGAGAAACTGCCTCTAGCGCCTAAACGGTGCCAATCGAACATTGACGTCTGCATCTCTAAATTTACGACAGCGGTTGTACAATATTTCGTTATGGAAATCACACGAGGGGTGCCCAACTCCATAAATGTGTATACTGGATTACCAAATTGTAAAGATTACCAAGGATTTACCAATGATAACCAAAGATTACCAATGAATAAGGTATGATTCGCTTGCATTCTAAATCGAAACAACCATTATTTGGCCCGAGAAATATGCATTTTGGAGCACATTTTAGGTCATTCTTAATTCTTTATCTTGCAAGTTAGAAACTTGCATTCTATGATTGGACAAATTATGTATTTATCCATGGGAGGGATGCAAATACGCTATATTAAACACATGGGCGTTTGAATTTAGACAAGATGCAACTTGTAAAAAAAAAAAATCATCGAAATAACGCCAAATTTGTCGTTAAATTTTTTAATGGGAAAAGTCGTTACATAACGGCATTGGGTTGTTATAGAACAACATCGATTGTTCAGTAACAACAAGAGTTGTGAAGGGACAACAAAAGTTGTTGAGGGACAACAAAAGTTGTTCAAGAACGACAAAAGTTGTTCAGGCGGAATATGAAACCGTATAAAACTACTGTCTAATTACAACAAAAGTTGTTCAGCAGCAACAAAAGTTGTTCAGAAACAACAAATGCTGTTCAGCAGCAACGAAAGTTGTTCAGGAACAATGAAAGTTGTTGAGGAACAGCAAAAGTTGTTTAGGAACAACATTGCTGTTTCGCAACAACCATTGCTGTTTTGCAACAAACTTTGCTGTTTTTCAACAAACTTTGCTGTTTTGCAACAAACTTTGCTGTTTTGCAACAGCTTTTATTGTTCTCTCTCGTACAACATTGTTGTTTGTTTACAACACCGCCATCAGTAAGAAAGTTGTTTTTCAACAACTCTTTTTTACAGTATGTGCACAAAAATGCATGTCTCAATCAACAAATTTGTCCTATGAAAGGACCCTCAAGAGTGTGTAGATTACCAGTGATTACCAACTCTGTGTGCACCTGATTACCATAGTTGGGCACCCCTCGAAATCACAACTACGTTTTGACAATTTTTCAAATATGTTTTTCACATTGAACGAGATGGTAACGTGCGCGTACTTGTACGCGAACAAGTCAGTCTCCAGATGTAACAACAAACTACCCGTCCTCACCGTCATTCGTGACACATACTACATACTTGACCCCGTTTGATCTTGCTTGCAGCGGCGGAGTTGGCCCACAGCGTCCAGGATGCATTCGTTATCGCGGTGGAGCAGCAGGCCAAGGAGCGCCTGGAGAGGCTGTCGCAGCTCAAGCGGATCAAGCCCGTGGATATGAACAAGCTGAGCGACCAGGTGAGTGGCGTAGCGTAGTGCAGCGACGCTTAGCAATTATCGTTGTAGAAATGGTCTGGAGCGGTGTCAGCGTAAAGCTCAGACTCAGGGAAAGAGGACAGAGAGAGAGACAGAGAGAGAATATCATTGTGTTTTGCCAGTTTTTATTGGAGGATTTCGAAATACAATACAGAACCTCTCGGACGACTTTATGGATGTAGCATCGAAATGGAACCGCAGAGTTTTTGCGGGAGCCTGCGTAGAGTTTTAGAACAATGGAAAGGGAGAGAATCGGATGAAAAGCAAGCGACTATGTGATGTGCGGTGCAGAGAGAAGCGAGCGCCTTGTAGTTAGGCAAAGTCTTGACGCTGAATACATTTGTGATGAGCGGGTGGCCTACTCTCGTGCCGGCAGGGGTTTAGCTCCACACTCAAATCTAAGAGAGAATTTTGTGCCTGAATTAAGCAGGGAGCCCGTGCAACATGTGCACTATTTCAAGCACAAGTACTTCAGGCAATTAGTGCTCTATTGTGTAGTAATAATATACTTCACAAGCACACTCGCGCACAGTTGGGCATGCACGGTTTCATGCATTAGTGATGGTAAAGGCAGTTGTTTTGTGCACTGGCTTTTACACTCTGTTGCGAAGCAATAATGCTTTGCAATTGCAAAGGATTTTGATCCAACTGATCCAACTGATTCAACTGCTCTTCAAACTTGCGTTACGGACGGGCAACTTTTGTAAGAATTTGTCCATCCGCTGAAGGACTATGGAAAGAGGTCACACAAGTATCCATCCGTCACGCCCACGTGCTTTCGCGCTCTTATAGGGGTGAGGGGAGGGAGGGAGGGAGAGAGAGAGAGAGAGAGATATTGATTGATTGATTGATTGATTGATTGATTGATTGATTGATTGATTGATTGATTGATTGATTTTTTATTTCTTTACGTGTGGTTACAAAATGACTGTTGACTGTTGAGTCCCACGAGAGAACCGCACCGCTCTCGGAGAATAGATAATAACATTGTTAATAATGAATAAATAAATAAATAGAACATCTCTGTA